CCAGGTTTCTATGTACTTTCATGCATTTCAGACTCCCGAACAGAGACCGACTGCACACCCCAAACACATGTAACTATTCTCGGCTTACACCTTGTGTGCGGTCGGTAAAACTAAAACCTCCATAAAACTGTCGGTAAAACTAAAACCTCCATAAAACTGTCGAACCCCTGAACCAATCTGGGTGATTTTTCAGTATGTTGCTCCCCCAGATTGAGGCTATCAGGGGACGTCATTATGAATGTATGACATGTTTTGGGGGTATTTCTAGAAAAGTATGAAAATTTTGATTTTTCTGTTTGGTGATAATTGAGTTGATACAGTAATTAACTCAATTATCTCCTGAGCAGAGGGGAGATAATTGAGTTATATATATTTTAATAAATATCATGCACAGAGAAGTTAGTGAATCCTGGGGTCAAACACCTGCAGCCTCCCACCCATGTGCTGCCGGCTTGGTGCATTATTGGTAATTGTGCATATGGTAAGTGTGCATATGGTATGACACATTGTTTATCTGGAAAAGTATCTGAAGGATAGTCACAGTTTTTTCTGCTCCGGGACCACATTAACATTTGAGTGGCCCGGGGCAAGAAAATTTATGAGGCACCTAATTTATAGGAAAATTCTCATTGAAAGTTAGTGTGAAAAGATTTGTAAAAAGGTTAGAAACTGAATTTGTGGAATTTGCTTGAAGGGTTACTCCAACCTTTTTTAAGTGTGTAGTTATTTCAATCCGTTTTGGACCCACAATCACAAGAAAATTTGCACAATAAAAATGTTTAAAAGTATCTGAAATACAGCACCAGTCAAAGCTGTCCTCGCTGGTTTCCACACCCCTTGTGTTGTCACAGCTTCCCTCACGAAGTCCAATCAAATTTTTCTCATCAAGGAGCATTTGATTGGACATTCTAGCTGTCTCAGAGTGCGCGGCCCACTCCGCCTAAGAAATATATAGAGATATATTTGTAGAGGAGAACGAGAAGTTAATGAGTCTCATGATAAAGACACTGTTATTCAATTATGTATGCATAATTTATCATTGTCATTAGATTATTATATGATATATTTATTGCTATTAGATTATTCTGTTAATATGCTTTTCTATCAGATTATTATTTGATATATGCATTGCTTTAAGGTTGAAATACTTGGTTTATATGATATTTGTATATTGCTATTATATTATTATGTAATATATGTATTGCTTTTTAGTCTTATAATTCAGATTATTTCTCCTAACAGGGCCTGATTCTGCACCTCATGGTTTTATTGCTGTATATTTTCCATGTGGGTGCTGGCAATGTGCCAATAAATCAACAGAAAAGTGAGTAAAATATTGATTGCCTTAAGTCTTCCACTATTCATCTGCCATGTTTTATGGGTCATATAAGGTCCAAGACAAGCAGAGGAGCAGGGGTTCAACTGCCCTGTGGGCCACTAACAGATGGAACCACAGCCTTGCATCATTCTGCTGCTGATTAAAATAGCTGGATTCCTGTTAGCCAAGCTCAGCCGGAGGAAGGCAGCAGGAAGGCTTTTATTACTCCAGTACTGGGTGGGTCAAAGCGAAACTGTCACATTCTGGAGACTTTGCATAATTTGCAAAGACCCCTAACAGTGACATCACCACCGGGAGTCCAGTGTTCGAGGGGATGCATGTAAAGTTGAGTTTTACTTATCTAAATTTGTCCTTTTGCATTCATGAGAGTACAGCAGGCCTATAGAGTATCTTGCGAGACCACCTGGGGGATTGACACTTCAATGCAGGGTGTGAAGAGACCGTGATCCTAATATTCATAACACATGATGATTCACGCCAATTGGAGTCATGGGAAGCAGAGCTGGTAGCTGTAGGCATGTACCAGTCTCTGTGAATGTTCCATCACACTGTGCAGGTCACACGGATGGAGGCTGCAGCAATATATGACGGCATACCGCACAACTCTAGCAGCCTCCAATTGTCCCACTCATATTGCATTGTCCTTGTGAATAGGATCTTCCACTGAGATTCATGCAGAAGAAAAGTACATTCTTTTATGCGTGCCCACATGCCAAAAACTGCCAACCCTCCCGTGGAGACAATATAGCGTCTGTAGTGCTTGTGATTGTTTTTTATTGCTTTAGAGAAAGTTGATTGGAAAGATAGTTCTATAAATGTGACACATGCCTGCTTTCTAATCTGTGAAGACAATGTTTTTAAAGTCTGGGGAGTTTATTTCACCCTCCATATTGCTGGCCATCGAAGGGAGGGCAAATGTGCAGACCATGAGTGAGTGACATCAAAGTGCAATGCAGGATTCTGCAAGTGGGTCCGGTAACAGGTTTTATAGAATCCGACAGAGACAGAATGAGATATGGCAGAGACAGAATGAGATATGGCAGCGATAGTATGAGATATGGCAGCGATAGTATGAGATATGGCAGAGACGGAATTAAATATGGCAGACACGGAATGAGAAATGGCAGAGATGGTATGAGATATGACAGAGACAATGAGATATGGCAGAGACGGAATGAGATACGGCAGGCAGAATGAGATATGGCAGAGACGGCATGAGATATGGCAGCGACAGAATGAGATATGGCAAGGACAATGAGATATGGCAGCGATAGTATGAGATACGGCAGAGACGGCATGAGATACGGCAGGCAGAATGAGATTTGGCAAAGACGGCATGAGATATGGCAGCGACAGATTGAGATAAGGCAGCGATAGTATGAGATATGGCAGGGACAGAATGAGATATGGCAGACACGAAATGAGATATGGCAGAGACGGACTGAGATATGGCAGATGGAATGAGATATCAGAAACAGAAGGAGATATGGCAGAGACAGTATGAGATATGGCAGAGACGGAATGGGGTGAGTGGGGTACAGTGACACAGTAACAGAAGGATTGAGGCCTTGCTCAGTGAGTTTATATTCTAGAGGGAGTGGGGTATAGTGACACAGTGACAGAGAGATTGAGGGCCCTGCTCAGTGAGTTTACATGTTAGGGGGAGTGGGGTATAGTGACACAGTAACAGAGGGATTGAGGGTCCTGCTCAGTGAGTTTACATGTTAGAGGGAGTGGGGTATAGTGACAGTAACAGAGGGATTGAGGGTCCTGCTCAGTGAGTTTACATGTTAGAGGGAGTGGGGTATAGTGACAGTAACAGAGGGATTGTGGGCCCTGCTCAGTGAGTTTACATGTTAGAGGGAGTGGGGTATAGTGACACAGTAACAGAGGATTGGGGGCCCTGCTCCGTGAGTTTAGATGTTAGAGGGAGTGGGGTATAGTGACACAGTAACAGAGGGATTGAGGGGCCTGCTCAGTGAGTTTACATGTTAGAGGGAGTGGGGTATAGTGACACAGTAACAGAGGGATTGAGGGCCCTGCTCAGTGAGTTTACATGTTAGAGGGAGTGAGGTATAGTGACACAGTAACAGAGGGATTGAGGGCCTGCTCAGTGAGTTTACATGTTAGAGGGAGTGGGGTATAGTGACACAGTAACAGAGGGATTGAGGGCCTGCTCAATGAGCTTACATGCTAGAGGGAGTGGGGTATAGAGACACAGTAACAGAGGGATTGAGGGCCCTGCTTAGTGAGGTTACATGTTAGAGGGAGTGGGGTATAGTGACACAGTAACAGAGGGATTGAGCGCCTGCTCAGTGAGCTTACATGCTAGAGGGAGTGGGGTATAGTGACAGTAACAGAGGGATTGAGGGCCCTGCTCAGTGAGTTTACATGTTAGAGGGAGTGGAGTATAGTGACACAGGAACAGAGGGATTGAGGGGCCTGCTCAATGAGTTTACATGTTAGAGGGAGTGGGGTATAGTGACACAGTAACAGAGGGATTGAGGGCACTGCTCAGTGAGTTTACATGCTAAAGGGAGTGGGGTATAGTGACACAGTAACAGAGGGATTGAGGGCCTGCTCAGTGAGTTTACATTCTAGAGGGAGTGGGGTACAGTGACAGTAACAGAGGGATTGAGGGTCTGCTCAGTGAGTTTACATGTTAGAGGGAGTGGGGTATAGTGGCACAGTAACAGAGGGATTGAGGGACCTGCTCAGTGAGTTTACATGTTAGAGGGAGTGGGGTATAGTGACACAGTAACAGAGGGATTGAGGGCCTGCTCAGTGAGTGTACATGTTAGAGGGAGTGGGTATAGTGACACAGTAACAGAGGAATTGAGGACCTGCTCAGTGAGTTTACATGTTAGAGGGAGTGGGGTATAGTGACACAGTAACAGAGGAATTGAGGGCCCTGCTCAGTGAGCTTACATGTTAGAGGGAGTGGGGTATAGTGACACAGTAACAGAGGGATTGAGGCCCTGCTCAGTGAGTTTACATGTTAGAGGGAGTGGGGTATAGTGACACAGTAACAGAGGGAATGAGGGCTCTGCTCAGTGAGTTTACATGTTAGAGGGAGTGGGGTATAGTGACACAGTAACAGAGGGATTGAGGCCCTGCTCAGTGAGTTTACATGTTAGAGGGAGTGGGGTATAGTGACACAGTAACAGAGGGATTGAGGGCCTGCTCAGTGAGTTTACATGTTAGAGGGAGTAGGGTATAGTGACAGTAACAGAGGGATTGAGGGCCTGCTCAGTGAGCTTACATGTTAGAGGGAGCGGGGTATAGTGACAGTAACAGAGGGATTGAGGGCCTGCTCAGTGAGTTTACATGTTAGAGGGAGTGGGGTATAGTGACACAGTAACAGAGGGATTGGGGGCCCTGCTCAGTGAGCTTACATGTTAGAGGGAGTGGGGTATAGTGAAACGGTAACAGAGGGATTGAGGGTCCTGCTCAATGAGCTTACATGCTAGAGGGAGTGACACAATTGGTAAGGATAGTATTAGACTAATGACAGTTGCAAGAGAGGAATCAGTCGGGAGTTATTAAGTTTTATTGATATGCTTTTATGAAGAAGTGGGTTTTTAATGATTTTTTTGAAGGAGTGGAGACTGGGTAAGCATCTAACGGAGGAGGGAAGTGAGTGCCACAGGAACGGTGCAGAATGAGATATGTCATAGACGGTATGACATCTGGCAGAGATGGTATGAGATATGGTAGACATAATGAGATATGGCAGAGATGGCATGGGATCTGAGAGAAGTGGCATGTGATCAGTGGTGTATTTAGGATTTGGGCTGCCTAGGGCTGCACCCCCCCAATTTACATTCTCCACCCCTTCCTGTCAAGGCTGCACTTTGACAGACGCTCACTCACTGACAGACGCATACACTCATTGACAGACACACACTCTCATATACACTGACAAACAATGACATACACACACACTATTACTTGGACACACACTGACAGATGCACACACACTGACAGACGCACGCACTCACTGACCGACACATACACATTCACTGACCCACACACACATTCACTGACAGACACACACTGACAGCCAGACATACACAATCACTCAGATACACATTAACAGACATACACAATCACTCACATACACACTGACAGCCAGACACACACACTGACAGCCAGACACACACAATCACTCAGACATACACCCCCAAAACATTAACTGATTACTTTTTTTGTTTGTTTGTTTAAATCCACCCACCCTCCCTACCTTTGGGACTGGTGGGTGGATTTTTTTTACTTGGGGTCCTGGGGTCCCTTCTGACAGGAAGGGAGGCAGGCGGGCGGGCGGCTAACTAAAACTCCATGTGGGCAGGCGGCGCTGGTGAGGGAGCACTGATTAGTGAGTTGTCTCTGCTCAGCTCCCTCGCGTGCGGGCAAAGTGATGACGGGTGCCGGAATATGACGTCATAGTCTGGCTCCCGGCATCACTCTGCGGCGCGCGAGGGAGCTGGGCAGAGACATCTCACAAATCAGTGCTTCCTCACCAGCACCGCCCGCCCGCATGGATTCTTAGTTAGCCGCCCGCCTGCCTGGATTGTTTGTTAGCCGCCAGGCTAACAAGGTATTTGTCTGGACATTTGGGGGTGGCGTTTTTTGCCACTCCCTGGAAATTGCTGCTCAAGGCAAATGCCTTGTTTGAACCGTGGCAAATACGTCCCTGCATGTGATCTGGCAGAGTAGGTGTAACATCTAGCAGAGAGGGCATTGAATCTCACAGGTGAAAGATCTGGCACAGTGTGGACTGGATGTGATAGTTTAAGAGTAGGATCTGTCAGGACACTGGCATAATGGGATCAGTCTACAGCAGAATGTGGACAGAGGTAACAAGATCCATTGTACCAGTCTTGTCAGGTGATAGTGAGGAATGTTCTCTGTCAGGCATTTTCCCTTGCCATGGTCTTTTGTATCAATTTACAACTCTCTGTATTTCTCCTCGTCCCCAAACCAGCTGGTGAGGAGCCCCCAATAAATGAGACAAGACAATGCCAGGTTCAAAGTGACCTATGGGCCTTTAATGAGCTGTGTAACAGTTTATGTTCAAGAGGAAACAGGGGTGGTCTTACAAACATTATCCAATCTTAACAAAAGCATCTATCTTATCTTAACATCTTAACCTATAGCAAGCTTGCATCAGATTAAATGGTTTAGATATATTGCATTGACTGGTATTGAGGGATAGCACTTATCTTCTCCTGGGCGGGTGTCTATATCACAACCTTTTCCGGCTTTTAACATGTTTCATGTCAGTGTGTGGCACATAAGAAGAAATTAAGGAACGTATATGTATTTTTGTTCTAATTCTGAGCTGTTCTGTAGAATGGAAAATTATGTAAAGTCCATGTGAAGTCCACCCATTGCACCATGGGATGAATATAAATTTGCATTTTATCTCCTGTTTATCTTTTCCTGCCAGTCATAGCCTGTGCTGAATGCTGCTATCCGTATGACTGCTGCGATGTGTACTCCCAGGGTTTCCATTCAGATGGGGTGTATTTAATATTCCCTGGGGGGAAGTATTCTAAGCCAACCCATGTGTACTGTGACATGACAACTCCAGGAGGACCATGGACGGTAAGTGAGAGCAGGGACACGTCTGTCTGACTCACCTGAGTGTCTGTCCATCCAGACCTAACACTTTATTGTGAGATGTTATTTATGGTGATTAATTATTATTAATTAATTTTCATTAATTAAAAACTATATTTTTATAAAAATTATTAAAATTAATAATCTTTATTAAAATATCAGGGGTTGATATTTTATTGGCGCGAATTACCAACTATTAATTTCAAGGCGAAGAGTTCCCACTATTTAACTTTTAGACCTAGAGCACATTGTCAGAATTTAATATTTCATACATTAATATCACAACTTTTTATAAAAATATTTATTTTTGTCAATAAGTGTAAATATACATGGTAATTAGTGAATAGTTTTCAATAATATTGAACAAGGTATGGCATAGTACAGTTCATAACAATTACAATCAACCGGGTTAGTACATGGAATATTTTCTTCATACACTATTGATTAAGACAGTCAACAAATTTATTATTATTTATAAAATATTTTACCAGGAAAGATACATTGAGATTTCTCTCGTTTTCAAGTATGTCCTGGGTCCACAAATCATTGCATTGTTACATTAGGTACAACAAAATACAAAAACAATAATAATACACAATATGTACAAAATTTAACATAGAACAAGTAGGGAATATATAATCAACCATGACACGTGCATTCTGTTTTGAGATATGTAGAGAGGGATCTCTTAAATGACTTTAGGCTTGGGGAAGATTTTAAATTGTGCGGGAGGTCATTCCATAATCGCTGTGCTCTGTAGGAAAAGGAGGATCGGGACGCTTTCTTTTTGTATTGAGGTAGACTAAGTAAAGTGCTGGTACTGGATCGGAGCTTATAGAAAGTGGGAACAGCTGGGGAAAGCATTTTGTTCAGGTAGGGTGGGAGTTTCCCAGAAAAGCTCTTAAACACAAGGCTGGAAAGATGAAGGGTGCGTCTGGATTCCAGCGATAGCCAGTTTAGTTCCTTTAGCATGTCACAATGATGGGTCCTGTAATTACATTGTAGCACAAATAGAATGTTGCTATTTGTTAAATTATAAGGAACCATATGAGTTTATCAGCATATGGATTACCGTGTTTCTCCGAAAATAAGACCGGGTCTTATATTAATTTTAGTCACAAAAAACACACTAGGGCTTATTTTCAGGGTAGGGCTTATTTATTTACGGTACCGGTATGTACATTGAACCCCCCTTTAATTAATCCACCCCCCCTTTAATAAATCCACCCCCTCTAATTAATCCACCCCGTCTAATTAATCCACCCCCTCTAATTAATCCAGCCCACCCTTTAATTAATTCACCCCCTCTAATTAATCCAGTCCACCCTTTAATTAATTCACCCCCCTTTAATTAATTCACCCCCCTCTAATTAATCCAGCCCACCCTTTAATTAATTCACCACCCCTTTAATTAATTCACCCCCCTCTAATTAATCCAGTCCACCCTTTAATTCACCCCTTTAATTAATTCACCACCCCTTTAATTAATTCAGCCCACCCTTTAATTAATTCACCACCCCTTTAATTAATTCACCCCCTCTAATTAATCCAGTCCACCCTTTAATTAATTCACCCCCTTTAATTAATTCACCCCCTCTAATTAATCCAGCCCACCCTTTAATTAATTTACCACCCCTTTAATTAATTCACCCCCTCTAATTAATCCAGCCCACCCTTTAATTAATTCACCCCCTCTAATTAACCAGCCCACCCTTTAATTAATTCACCACCCCTTTAATTAATTCACCCCCTCTAATTAACCAGCCCACCCTTTAATTAATTCACCACCCCTTTAATTAATTCACCCCCTCTAATTAATCCAGTCCACCCTTTAATTAATTCACCCCCCTTTAATTAATTCACCCCCCTTTAATTAATTCACCCCCCTCTAATTAATCCAGCCCACCCTTTAATTAATTCACCCCCCCTTTAATTAATTCACCCCCGCCCCCTTTAATTAATTCAGTCCAAGACATAAAATATCTACCGGTACTCACATTTCAAAGATTCCTTGCCGAGTCCGACCACTGGGTGCCTCACCGCCCGGAAATGGATCCTTCCGCTGAAGATCCGTGAAGGCAGACTGACGGCGCTGCAAAATGTCGTCATCACGTTGCGCGATGCCGCGGCCCACAACGCTCCTCCTACAGTAGAAGAAGGAAGTCTTGCCGCAAAGGTACAATGCCTAGGTCTTATTTTCGGGGTAGGGCTTATATTGCAGCCCACCCCGAAAATCCGACTAGGGCTTATTTTCGGGGTAGGGTTTATTTTCGGGGAAACACGGTATTATAATTTAAAGACATAATTTTTCAGGATCTTAAAATACAATCTTAGCTCTTTACTTCTTAGTGCCATTTACAAACACATGTGGATTGTTTGCGTATTGTAAACAACATTCATTAGACATAGCTGGACAGAGTTCGTTATTTACTCAGGTGATCTTGTCTTCTTGTCTGTCTCTTGTCTTGTGTTCGATCTCCTTTCTCCTTCTGTGTATCTCTCTGTCTCTCCGTTTATGAGTGTTTTCTTTTCTTTGTGTTCGGGACAGTTTAGGAATATATCATTTAAAGATGCTTTTAGTCAGCAATTCTTCTTTCTATGTGGACCTTGGTTGTTCAACCAATGTGTTCCTTGTTCACCTAAGTGATATTGCAATTGCAGGATATTTAAGCTGTCTAACTTAATTTATCACTTTGCTCATTAAATTTTTATATGTATATAGTTTCTATATATGTATAGATTGCTAACTTAGGCTATATCACACTCTATTTCTAATTTTATATATAATTAAACTTAATTTATATACCTCATAGCAATATATGTGTGAACGTATACTTTTAGACATACTTGTCTTATCTGTGTTCCTATCTGTTATTGACACAGATGTATTTACTCACTGTCTGTCTGGCTCTTTCAGTGGACAGGGTTAAACTGGGTTATAAAAACATCTTGTTTCTTCATTTTAGTACCTCATGACATTAAGCTAAATTGCGTTTTTGCCATTATGCCTGTATTATTTTTATCACACACTATATACGCATTTACTTCCTACACAATAGCTCTGACAATTGGCATTATAGGAAGATATAAATATTATAACATTGCTTCCAGTGCTATATTATGAGGGTTCAAGTTGTCTTCTGTGTTTTGATTTGTGAGTTGTGAGATTTTATACTTTTACAGAAATCTCCCATTGATGTTCGGAAAGTTAAAGGGATACTATAGGCACCCAGAACACTTCATCTTATTGAAGTAGACTGGGAGCAGTGTTCCTGTCTCATAAACAGTTGTAATCAAAATTATTCAACTCCCATTGAAAATCAGGTTTATTGTAAAAATTTACAGATTTTCAGCGGTTTGCAATGATCTTATCAAACAAAAGCATTTGAAATGAGCTCAAATAACACAATAAATACTTCAAGTGGTTTCCCCAAATTCAACTGAAAATGCAGCTTATAATGACGTCTCCAGTCTCAAAATTATTCAACCCCTTCATGGCAGGCATCTTTAACTCTTAGTAGAGCATCCTTTTACTGTTATGACCTGCAGCAAACAAGATATATAGCCAGAAACAAGCTTCTGGCAACGTTCCTGAGGAATATTAGCCCATTGTTCATGACCAGTGGCCTCCAGTTCAGTAATATTCTTTTGTTTGCATGCTACAATTGCCTTCTTCGAATCCCACCAGAATTTTCTATGGGGTTCAAGTCAGGTTACTGTGATGGCCACTGTAGAATATTCCAGGACTTCTTGCAACCAAGCCTTGATGGAATTTGAGGTATGCTTGCGATCATTGTCTTGTTGGAAGATCCAATGACATTCAAGCTTCAGCTTCCTCACAGGCGTCATGATGTTTTCTCCCACGATTTCCTGATAATTTAATGAATAGATCTTGCTTTCCACAGTGTCAGAGGATGCAAAGCAGCCCCTGAGCATCACAAGCCACCACACTTAACTGTAGGCAGAGTGCTCTTTTCAGCATATGATTCATTCTTCCTCCAAACATACCGCCAGTGGCAGAACTACCGCCGGTGTAGCCCCAGAGCATCACGAACCACCACCATGCTTAACTGTAGGCAGAGTGCACTTTTCAGCATATGCTTCATTATTCCTCCACACATACCCCCAGTGTCAGAACTACCACCGATGCAGCTGGTGTGGTTGCACTGAAGCCTGCACGGTTTTGGGGCCCAACAGGACTTAGAGCCACTCGATCTGGACTCCTGCTCCAGGACTGAACGGCAGCGGGTCCGCAGCATGGACCATGGTATTAACCCTCAGACTGCCGGATATGTTGTGTTGTCAGTACATGTGTCCACCCGGAGCCTGGGTGGATCGGGAGCAAGGAGCGGGGACCAGGATGTGAGATGCACCAATTGAAGGACATTAAAGAAAACTGCTATAAATAAGTATTTCAAAGATTTGTTTATATTGGTTCACCAACTTTTGGGTTTATTATGTGTATTTTTATGTATGTGTCTGTGTGTGTCAGTGTCAGGTCCCCTACCTCCGCACCGCACACGGCGGCCTTGGTTACCCCTTCATATGGTCCCTGTCCGTGGCGTGCGGCTGTGCATCAGTGTATGTGTCAGTGTGTGTATCTGTGTATGTATCAGTGTGTGTGTGTATATGTATATATGTGTGTGTGTATATATATATATATATATATATATATGTGTGTGTGTGTGTGTGTGTGTGTGAGTTTGTGTATCTGTGTCAGTGTGTATATGTGTGTATGTATCAGTGTGTGTGTGTGTGTGTGTATATGTATATATGTATGTGTGTGTGTGAGTTTGTGTATCTGTGTCAGTGTGTGTATGTGTCTGTGTACACCCCAGCAATCAAACACCAACACAACATGCAAAAACACCAGAGCACTCAAACACAAACATTACACACAAGTACACCACTGCATTCCAATGGCAACAGTACATACAAATACACCCCTACATGCACCCATACTCTGTATAAAAACATGCTTACATTCATATGCACAAACACTGCTCAGAAATTCAACCCTGCAAGGATGGGAAAATAGTAGATACCCAGCTAGCATAGCATTGTGGGAGTTTTACAATAGATGGGGATCTATCCTTTTGCCATTCTTGCACTAGAGGGGATCCAAAAAAAAATTCTTGCACCAGGGCCCTCTCTACATTAGTTCCGCCACTGCATACCACTATTGGGCCAAAAAGTTCCAGTTTTGCTTAATCGCTACACAGAACAGAATCACAAAATCTCTGTGGCCAATGTATATGGTTTTGAGCATCTTGAGCTTTTGAGTCAGTAGTGGTGTACGCCTTGGAGTTCTGCGTTTTTTACGTGCCTTGCTGTGCTTACTGAAAGCTCAGTACCTGTTTCCACCTAGTCTTTTGCAGTCACTCGAGGGTTTTTCACAAACTGCCTTCTCAAAAATGTGGTTGCAGCTATTGATAGCTTTATTTTTCTCCCCTGTCCATGTAGTGCAGAGGTGTACTAAGGGGGGCCTGTCCGTGAAGGACTCCAGGGAGGGACTTTAGTTTGGCAGGCTGCCTACCACCTTGACTGGGTACCTCCGCCAATCGCTGCTTCCTAGTGCTCACCGAGTACTCCAAGCACTCCACCAGGCACCATCAGCACTGTAGACCATTATCCGCCGCAGCTTGGCTGCGGTCTCACCGTCCCTTCCCACTCTGGACCAAACTCCTGGACCCAGATCCCAGTGGGAAGACCTCTCCTCCAAGAGAGTATAGCAGGATAGCACTGACAAGAGCTAGTGATATAGCCTGTATTGCCTATATAGCCTTCTCCCACAGACATGAGACTAGGCTCTATGCTGGGGATGAACTGGGACTGGTTTAATGGGAGCCACATGCGGCCTTTTATAGAACTTTCCATGCAAGGGGTTTCCTTGATCACATTCCAGGGGTATTCGCCACTGGAGACGAGACTACTTACAAGCAAACGTTCCACACACTCCTCTCCTGTGCCTGAGAGATAATTACCTGAGCACACAAACATATAATTAAATTATCTCTCAGGTACAAAAACATACAATTTAACAAACCACAAAAGTACCTCCAAAACACATGAAACCCCCTCAAAAGTCACATCCCCTGATAGCCACGATCTGGGTGACCAACATATCTAAAAATCACCCAGATCGGTTGAGGGGTTTGGGATTTTCCTGGAATTCACTTATTTGACCGACTGTGCACATGATTCTATGACCAAAACAGTTCCAGGGAATCAGGGCTAATGGGTGGTCTCTTTTGGGAGCACAAAAGTACATAAAACACCGAACAGAATACTTAAATTACTTGTGTAGCCTGTTCCCCTTGTTCGTGGGAACATTTTGTGTGTGTGTGACTGTCTGCATGTGACTGTGTGTGACTGTGTGTGTGTGTGACTGTCTGCAACTGTGTGTGTGTATCTGTCTGCCTGTGACTGTGTGGGGTTTTTTTGCAGGTGTTTTTTTACATTTTAAAATTGAGGGAGGGGGAGACGGGGTGCCAAACACAGGACCCGCTCTGGGTGCAAAATGCTTTAGGTATGCCTCTGATGTAGTGTACCACTGTTCATTCAACTTTTAACTAGCGAACTGCCTAAGATAGCACCTCTTTTGCATATTTGTGCTGTTGTGAGGGATTCTATTCAGGGGGTGAATATTTCTGAGACTGGAGAAGTCATTATAAGTTAAATTTTCAGTTGAATTTTGGGAAACAACTTGAACCGTTCATTGTGTGGAGCTTTTTCAATTGCTTTTGTTTGATTTGTTCATTGCAATCAGCTCGTTCATCACTTTATGCAACTCATATAAATGCAGAACTAGAACATTTCTGGGTGCTTTGTATTACGCAATCACCATGGAAACCGCCAGAACCATCTTGCTGCTAATTAGCTCCAGTTATACTAAGCAGGGATTGATCTGATCTATTCTATTTCGATTACCCACCAGGTGTTCCAGAAGCGATTTAATGGTTCTGTGGACTTTTACCGAGTCTGGGACGAGTATGAGAATGGATTTGGTCGTGCGGATGGCGAATATTGGCTGGGTAATACCCCATTTGTATTTTTACTGTACTATGCACAAATTGCTGGTTTTCATACAATTCCTCCAATTATTCTGAATACAAAAGGGATAAACTATGATGAAAGAGGAATAAAACCATCTCCTCCAACCTTTTTAGGTTTGCGTAACATTCAGCAGCTCACGCAGAGGAAGCCATACCGTCTTGGCATTCAGCTGGAGGACTTTGAGAAAAATACACGTTTTGTGACATACGAGTCGTTCTCTCTCTCCCAATTCGCAGTCTTTCCTGCGGAGCAGAGGTACAAGCTTAACGTTGATGGATTTAAAGAGGGGGATCCATTAAATACTGCAGGTAAGTGACTGGAAGACTTTGGCCAACTTTAACTTGTTCATAAAATGTGGCTAAAAATATGGAAAAAGCAGTGCAGTAATTTAAAAATTGTTGGTAACTCAGGGGTAATGGTTATTACCAGATATTAGTCACATTGGTTCTGTGCTGGAATCTCTGTACTACAGAAACCAAACCACTTCCAGAATTAACCTCCATAAGAGTCACTGTCTGCGCAATCTGGACTCACAATCCTGCCAAACAGTAGCTCTAACAGAACCAACTGCGGAGCATAAACACAATGGCATCCTCACCAAATTGCTACAAGCCCCCTGACATTGCTCCCAGGCCCTCAGCTCATATACCTGGGGTGGCCAGATTTGGATAATTTCAAAGCTGAGCAGGTCAGGAGTAAAACGCATCACAACTCCTTCATCTAAGGACTCAACCTCCCCAACAACCACTCCTTTTCATTTTAGATCCCTTTATGGTCCTCTAAATACAGGTTCTTTCCTTCGATTATTACCTTTACTTTAACAGACCTCCTCATCCTTGTTTCTGGATGCTTCCTTCCTTTGGATACCTCTATCACAGCCCCTCGCCCCCAAAGTCTACCTTTCCTCTCCGTATGGCCACCTACCTTCCCCAAGCATGGTCTTTATTATTGGTCTCCATTCGAGCACTCCCTCTGTTCTCCTCTCAGCACTCTCCCTTCTGTATTTGGAGCTCTCCTCCCAGCTCTCCTTTTTCCAAGTAAGGACTCTGTCTCTGTAGAAATATGCCTAGGCATAAATGACAATGACAGGTCTCTAAATGTATAGAAAAATATAATAGTAATAATAACGTCTTTATTGGCAGAAAAGAAAATAACACGAAAGGGTTAATAAATTAATTAAAAAGCCAAAAAAATGCTTAAAAGGACACTATAGTCACCTGAACAACTTTAGCTTAATGAAGCAGTTTTGGTGTATAGAACATGCCCCTGCAGCCTCACTGCTCAATCCTCTGCCATTTAGGAGTTAAATCCCTTTGTTTATGAACCCTAGTCACACCTCCCTGCATGTGACTTGCACAGCCTTCCATAAACACTTCCTGTAAAGAGAGCCCTATTTAGGCTTTCTTTATTGCAAGTTCTGTTTAATTAAGATTTTCTTATCCCCTGCTATGTTAATAGCTTGCTAGACCCTGCAAGAGCCTCCTGTATGTGATTAAAGTTCAATTTAGAGATTGAGATACAATTATTTAAGGTAAATTACATCTGTTTGAAAGTGAAACCAGTTTTTTTTTCATGCAGGCTCTGTCAATCATAGCCAGGGGAGGTGTGGCTAGGGCTGCATAAACAGAAACAAAGTGATTTAACTCCTAAATGACAGTGAATTGAGCAGTGAAATTGCAGGGGAATGATCTATACACTAAAACTGCTTTATTTAGCTAAAGTAATTTAGGTGACTATAGTGTTCCTTTAAAGCTAAATGCAGGAAAAAAACAAATTTCCGGAATATATGCATACTTCGTGCCAGCCTGGGTACTTTTATAGAACGTAAACAATTGGAATATTTCAAGAAAGTAGCAATCCATCTGAGCCCTTAAGGGTTTCCCGTAGGCCAACAAGAGCTCTAAAGTGCAATGAACTAAAAGTCGAGATTGAAAATCCCAAATATCGAGTTGATAATATGGCTTTAAGAACCACTCTAAGGAAAATAACAGGGATTCCACTAAAATTCCAAAAATTGCAGTAATAAAAAAATGGAATTAGATAAAATCTAGTGAGTATCCAGGAGTAGGTTACAGTGTATACCTTCGAGTGTTAAAACAGTGTTTGATATATGAAAGAAATATCTGTAAATATATGGTGATCATAAGTGTATGACTTAATCCTCCGTTCTACTAAGAAACAGAGTAGAAATCCATAGTGTATACCGTGTAAAAGATTTGAATGAAATAATAAATTTACAAATTGCAAGTCTATACCAAGCATTTATGGAAGAATGTTTGTTGCTGGGGGCAGTTTGTAGAACGGAGGATTAAGTCATACACTTATGATCACCATATATAATCTTAAAGTATTTGTATATTTGCATGCAGTGTACATATATTGATATCACCAACTTCTAAAGAAAGATCATTGATATTGTACTATATTATCAAAGCTTGTTCAGTAGTTTAACCCCAGCTGGTTCAATAGCTGGCGCTAACTGAATAGCTAACATTGCATAGACTGTATCAGTTTATCTCCTTCTTTGCTGACAGTATCAAATAGAGACTACAAGGAATTGATACTTTTATAAGCAATATATCCAGTTTTATGTTCAGCTATTCGGTTCAACTATTTACAGATATTTCTTTCATATATCAAACACAGTTTTAACACTTAAAAGGTATACACTGTAACCTACTCCTGGATACTCATTAGATTTTCTCTAATACCATTTTTTTAAGAGCTCTAAAGTGTCTCACTAAAATCAATTACATTACAGTTAAATTAAAGAGACAGCTCTCCAGATGATATCCAGACTGAAATAGATACAAAGTTAGAGTCCAACTAACCCCTTTAACCTACTGACCTACATTAGTACATTTTGTTAAATGATTAAACAAATTAAATGTAGGATGGATGGATAAATAAATATAATAGCATTACGTATTCAGATTTGGACCAGGTTAAAAAACTAAATCTTATAATAAATGACTTATTACTAATCCAAATTCATGTTTATTAATGACAGGGAATGCTCTAGAATGGGCAAACAATATGAATTTCTCCACCTATGACCGTGATGGAGACACATACCCAGATAACTGTGCTGTGTCCTACCATGGGGCATTTTGGTACAACAGCTGCCACAGAGCCAATCTGAATGGTAAATACCTAAATGGTAGCACTTCGGAGTATGCCACTGGCATGGTGTGGAGCCTATGGAAAGGTTATTACTATTCCCTGAAAAGGAGCGAGATGAAGATGGCTTGTGTATCTCAGTAGCCTTTTCCCATCAACTGACTGCAAGAACTGTGACTTATTCTCCGATCAACTGACTGCAAGAACTGTGAAATATTCTCCTATCAACTGACTGTGAGAACGGTGACATATTCTCCTATCAACTGACTGCAAGAACTGTGACATATTCTCCCATCAACTGACTGCAAGAACTGTGACTTATTCTCCGATCAACTGACTGCAAGAACTGTGAAATATTCTATCAACTGACTGCGAGAACTGTGACATATTCTCCTATCAACTGACTGTGAGAACGGTGACATATTCTCCTATCAACTGACTGCAAGAACTGTGACATATTCTCCCATCAACTGACTGCAAGAACTGTGACTTATTCTCCGATCAACTGACTGCAAGAACTGTGAAATATTCTATCAACTGACTGCGAGAACTGTGACATATTCTCCTATCAACTGACTGTGAGAACAGTGACATATTCTCCTATCAACTGACTGCAAGAACTGTGACATATTCTCCCATCAACTGACTGCAAGAACTGTGACATATTCTCCTATCAACTGACTGCAAGAACTGTGAAATATTCTCCCATCAACTGACTGCAAGAACTGTGACATATTCTCCTATCAACTGACTGCGAGAACTGTGACATATTCTCCTATCAACTGACTGTGAGAACGGTGACATATTCTCCTATCAACTGACTGCGAGAACTGTGACATATTCTCCCATCAACTGACTGCGAGAACTGTGACATATTCTCCTATCCACTGACTGCGAGAACTGTGACATATTCTCCCATCAACTGACTGCGAGAACTGTGACATATTCTCCAATCAACTGACTGCAAGAACTGTGACATATTCGCCCATCAACTGACTGCAAGAACTGTGACATATTCTACAATCAACTCACTGCAAGAACTGTGACATATCGTTTTATCAACTGACTACAAGAACTGTGACGTATTCTCCTATCAACTGACTGCAACATCTGAGAACAATATTCGGGTATCCATATCAGTAAAGTGAAGTGAGTTTCCATGGATGACTCTGGGTTCCAGAAACCAGTGTTTTATAATGATTTCTCCAGATGCCGCTATTTGGCAGTAATTGTCCTAGTTTATCATTAAACACCGTATATTGTGTATCATTATATTCTATATATCAATAAATAAATGAAATACAGACCTGATCAGTCTTAATAAGGATTTTACAAATATTGTTTTTTTTCTATAACACATTGAATAAGGAACGGGGGTAACTTGCAGTTCTGCATTGACTCTGCATTCTTTCAATTCCCACTTTGGTTAAAGGAACAATAAACATCTGAACTGCTATAGCTTAACGTAGTGGTTATGGTACACATAGCCTATCCCTGCAACCTTCGCTACATTGTCTGGGAAAACACAGTGTTTACATTGCTTCCTAAGGTCACCTCTAGCGGCTGTCACTCAGACGGTCATTTAGACAGTCACGGGTGAGGTCCTGCAATCTTTGCATGTCTTCACACTCTGCATAAAGATGCTGAACGCTCCTCACAAAGATGTGCTGAGCTGGTGCACCACTGTGAGGAGATACAGCAATTATACCGCACACACTATCCTCCGTACCCTATGCTACCCTATGGAAGGTCATTAGATTGTCTGAGATTATCGACAATGTTAAACTTAGCTAGGGGAGCCACTGCTGTGGATAGAGGGGGGGTATGGGGGGGGGCGCGCTACAAATCTAAATATGTAGGAACGCACTCTTACGTTATGAATCCATGTTAACATTCCTACCATAGAGTGATCCTTTAATGCTATGAATCCATGTTTACATTCCTACCGTAGAGTGATCCTTTAACGCTATGAATCCATGTTAACATTCCTAACATAGAGTGTCCCTTTAACGCTATGAATCCATGTTAACATTCCTAACATAGAGTGATCCTTTAACACTATGGATACATGGGGTATTGCAACATCTGCTGGTGAGAGTTAGAACATTAATCTAATAAGTACCTAATTAATTTCAATTCTGATAAGAAATATATACACATACACTAATTATATTAAATATATACAATAATTAACCATAGTAATTATATACACATACACTAAGTAATTATATACACTAATTAAGCATGTTAAATATATACACATACACTAATTATATTCATTATATACACTAACTATAATTATTATATGCACATATACCAAGTAATTATATACACTAAGTAATCAAATTAAATATATGTACATGCACTAATTATATTATATACACCAATCATAGTAATTATATACACATACACTAATTCAGTATATTTATATTATATACACTAATCATTAAATATAAACATATACACTAAGTAATAATAATTATATACACAAACTAATTATATAAATCATATGCACATACACTAATTAAATTAATTATATATACAGATATAGTAACAAGGTCTAAAAAAAAAAAAAAAAAAATAGGGTTCAGCGGATGCATACACCCATGGTTGGACCAGATAAATTCCTTATTAAACTCATTCACCTGATGTACACTCCTGAGTGTTGGCTACGAATTGGACTTTTAAAGGTGGAAAGTCAGTTACCTGGAATTTACATCACTGAAAAACATGAATATCACATAGAACAGTGATGGCGAACCTTTTTGAGCCCGAGTGCCCAAACCGCAATACATGCCAACATTTTTTCTCCTTAAAGTGCCAACACGGCAATTAAACCCAAATACTGAGGTTTAAGTTTAGAAAAAAACAACTCGTACTGTTGTCCGAACTAATAACTTTTGTTTTAAAAGAACACGGAGAGTTCAATGATACAAATTTTAAATAATGATATAAATAGATAAAATTAAGCTTATATTTATTAGTATCTCCAACAAATGCAATACATACACACACAGACTGCTGAATACATACACACAGTCTGCTGAATACACACACACACAAGACTGCTAAATACAGAGACTGATGAATACACACACACACAGACTGCTGAGTACACACACACACACAGACTGCTGAGTACACACACACACAGATTGCTGAGTACACACACACAGATTGCTGAGTACACACACACAGACTGCTGAGTACACACACACACAGACTGCTGAGTACACACACACACACAGACTGCTGAATACACACACACAGACTGCTGAGTACACACACACAGTCCGCTGAATACACGCACACACACACAGACTGCTGAATACACGCACACACACACTGCTGAATACACACATACTGCATTGAGGTGGGGGGGGTGTGTGTGTGTGAGTGTTGTATGTGTGGGGTGCTGTGTGTGTGTGTGTGGGGGGGGTGCTGTGTGTGTGTGGGGGGGGGTGCTGTGTGTGTGCTATATGTGTAAGGGTGCTGCGGGGGGTAGGGGTACTGTGTGTGTGGGGGGGTAGGGGTACTGTGTGTGGGGGGTAGGGGTACTGCTGGGAGGGGTACGGGTGCTGTGTTGGGGGTAGGGGTGCTGTGTTGCGGGTAGGGTACTGTGTGGGGGGAGAGGGT